AAGTACTGTAAAGGAAAAGGTAGACATAAATCATTCAACCACCCTCAAGGAAAGCGCTCATGTCCAGTGTCCTTTATTCATTCGACATGCACTGGGAAGAAGAAGGGACAAGAAAGACAGGCCTTGCCTTCACAGAGCTGACAGTCTATGGGGAGGAGGACACAGCACCAGCAGTCACGTGTGGGGAGGGTGTGTCTGTGTGGAGTGTGTGTGTGAGATAGGAAAATCACGGAAGCAAAGTGCACAGAGTACACCACAGTGACATCCATTTATGTGGAAATAGGGAAGATCTCCCTATAGAGGAGAAGAGGATGTTTAAGCTATAATCTGAAGGGTAAGCTGAAATCAACTATTTTCTGTAATTCTCAGATTTTAAAATCATAAAGATAGGTAAATGCATAGGTAAAGAAAAATCTAATGTTTAAAAAGTGGCTCAGTACTAAATATGAATTCAACATCTCATTTTGTAAATTATACAGAAGAAAAAAAACCCATTATAATTCTAGAGTAACAAACTTTTTACTGTACTAGTGCTTGTGTGTTTATGTGTAGGTATGTGTGTACAATGCTTGATAAATATTAACTGAATTGAATGGGTTGGTGGCCAGAGCTTAGAAAATGTGTTTAAAAAGACACTTTTCTTCTTGAAAAATGTTAAGAAAATGGATATTGAGTGTTCTCACCACAAAAAAAGGATAACTATGTGAGGTAATGTACTTGCTAATTTGTTAGATTTAACCATTCTACAATGAATATATACTTCAAAACATGTTGTATATGATAAACATACAATTTTATGTCAATTAAAAAATTAAATTGAAGGAAAAAGGATATTTTTTCTTCTCACACTTGTTTCCAAGTACAAAATTAAACCTCAGTACTAATTGACTTCCAGGCATTATATTACATTTCAAAATTATCTTCATTAAAGGTGATATAGAAGCTGTTTTTCAACAACTCATATATTAGAAGGCTTATGCTAAATTAATATATTATAAACAGAATTTTTAGATAAGCAAATCTGAAAGCAGGAAATAAATTTGTTTTGTAAGATTTGAAGTTGCAAGTTGTAATAAGCCAAACCACCCATTATGATGAACAATAAAACCATACAGCACTATTAGACATTTTCAAAATCCCAGGCAAAAGAAAAAGGAAAACAATGTTCTAAGAACTGTGGGTTCTGAGTTAAGGTTCTAAGCCAAGAAAGACTCCTGTATTCTGGGCAGTGGGTATCCATAGCGGGGGTGAGGAGAAAGAAGGCCATCCCATAAAAGGGCAGCCCAGGGACAGAGAGTGAGGCAGGGCAGGCCAGGTGCACATGAGAGAGCTGGACAGAGGAGCTGCAAAGATAGAGGCTCTGACTGAGGTTCTAGCATTTCACAATCCGTGTCTTCAATAGTCTAAAACAATGAAGAGGCATCTCCTCATGATGTGGCAGACGTGAGCAGCATCTTAAAAATGGTGCTTGGAAAAACATTTTAACTCAGCCTGCTACGTTCAGAGACACAGTTTCAATGCTATGATGCAAGTTACTCAGAAAACAGAAGTCACCTTGTTATGCAGATGTTCTACAGCTGAACAAAGGCTGCAAAGGTACTACATAAAAGGGACGCTTACCGCAATCTGCGGTCCTAAGACCCTTGCAAAGATTCCTAATGAATTGGTCTGTGAAATGTCATTCTGTAACATATGCAGGGATTATCTAAGTGCGAACATTTGTCACTTTTAATTGAATACCATCTCCCTTTCTGACATGTCAGATACTGCCCTTCAATGAATGTAATTTTTATTCTTCTAAACCAAAGAACAATTTAAATGAGATTATGTTACTGAGTTCATTTTTAGTGTATCACAGGCTTCGAATACCAGGAACTGTTTCACTTAGCATAAATTAGTGAACATCCTTCATCTGGACTTCAGCAGAAGTTAAAGAATGTGTTGATTTTTTCCTTTGGGGTTTTATATAGATTATCCTACAGAACTCAACATCATGCTATTTGCTGAGACACTTGCTTTAGAGACCTAGGTAAGTTAGGCCCGTAGGGCACCTAGGTTACTGGATTGCTCCTATCAAGAAAATTCAGTGTCCTCCAAGATCTAAAAGCAAATATATTTCTCCATATAAAAGGTTACTTCTAAGACTCTTTTGATGGAGTTCTCTCTTGAGAGTTATTAATAATTTAATTCTCTCTCACATGAGTATAACAACATATTAATATTTGTCCTAGGCTTTCTACACAGGGCCAAAGAGAAACCTGTGAAGATTGCATTCTTGATCTCCTTCTTAGAGTTCTGGATTTTCACATATTTTACCACATGCCCACTTGAGCAACAAGATCCAGATGCTATTGGACCCGCCCGCTGGCCTTATTCCTTCTCTGTCATTTTTGCCAACCCTCTCCAAATCTACAATAGTCCTAGCACTTTTCAGGGGCTCCAAAGTTATTCAGACACTTACTGGGTTCCCTGTGGAATGCTGAGACGGAGACACAGCAACAGGAAATGTGCTTCCTGACCCACAGAGCTCTCAGTCTAGGGGGACAGCCAGGGACTAAGTGCTGTAAGAATACCCACCACCTCAAGAAAGAAGGCATACCACCAGCCTACCTCCTGTCAGTCAGTACAGGTAACTCGGAGCAGGACACGGGCAGCACAAGTGGCATCTGTGTTGGGAACAAAGGCAGGCAGGTGGCACAGGTATATTCATCTAGGCCAGGTACAGGCAAGCTATGGCCCACCTTTTTGTAACTAACATTTTACCAGAGCACAGCCATGTCCACTCGTTTACTTATCATCCATCTGCAATGGCAGAGACATAGAACTGGCCCACAAACATTTACAATCTGGTCTTTTACAAAAACAGTGTGCTGATCCCCGGTCTAGGCTGCTAACAGCTCCTGACTCCTTGGGCTATGCCTTTGCTTCTGCCCATGATGCCAACTTCTGCATGGGGATGCAAAGAACATAGGTGGAGCACATACATGTGGTGGGGGAGAACGTGTAGGCAAGTTCTTGCCCTGCCTGAGCCCTGAACACATTTGAACTTACCAATGCTCACCAAGGGGTACTGGAGTACCCCTTGTACTCCAGTCCCACCTGACAAGGAGATATGCCAGAGATGGCCTTCCTATTTGTAGCACAGTCTCTGTCCCTTCAAACTTTTCCTTATCTTCTCCTCCATGAAAACCCAGCTTAAAGCTCACCTCTTATCAAAGACTCAACAGGAGCATTCTGGGAGGCCAACGGGGGTGGATCGCTCAAGGTCAGGAGTTCAAGACCAGCCTGAGCAAGAGCAAGGCCCTGTCTCTACTAAAAATAGAAAGAAATTAATTGGCCAAATAAAAATATATAGAAAAAATTAGCCAGGCATGGTGGCTCATGCCTGTAGTCCCAGCTATTCAGGAGGCTGAGGCAGGAGGATTGCTTGAGCCCAGGAGTTTGAGGTTGCTGTGAGCTAGGCTGACACCATGGCACTCTAGCCTAAGCAACAGAGAATGTCTCAACAAAAAGGGGGGGGGGGGCTGCAGCTAAACCCAACTTCAACCTGTAGGTCACCACCTGTGTTCTTCAATCTGAATTCACAGATTCAACAAACATCAACCATGTGCCAATAAGGTCCTACACAGAGCGCCACATTTCTATATACTGTCTGGTAATCCTAATCTTTTACTACTGTCTGTTGAATAAATTAGATTAAGAGTGTGATTACCATTTGGGGGTGATAAAAATGTTCTGCAATTAAAAAGTAGTGATATTGCACAACTGCAAATATACTAAAAACACTGAACTGGACACTATAATAGGGTAGAGTCAGGATAGGCAAATTATCTCAAAGTTATTAAAAATAAATTTTTAAAAAGTATGATTATCAAAAAAAAGCACTAATTTCTTATGCTTTCTATCTCTAGAATGTAATAAAATCCCATATCTAGTACTCGTGAATGAGAACAGTGAGGATACTAGTAACTAGGTTACATAATGAATTACCCCCAAAATGTAGTGGCATAAACCACCATTGGTAACATTCACAGGTTGCATGCGTCAGGATCTAGACAAGGTATGGCAGGGATGGCTTGTCTGTGCTCCACAGTGTCCAGGCCTTGGCTAGAAGGTGGGAGAGCCAGAATCTTACATGCTGGGTGGCACCTCAACGTGCAGTCTTCCTGTGTGGCTAGATGGGCTTCCTCACAGCATGGCAGCTGGCTTTCCCCCAGAGCAAGTATCCCGAAAAGACAAGCCAGGCAAAAACTGTGCCCCTTTTAAGACCTACCTGCAAAGTCACCCAGCACCACTTTGCCACACTACTCGGTGAGGCAGGTCAAAACTCAGCTCAGGTTCACAGGAAAGGGACAGAGAACCCACCCTTCATCAAAGTTCGTAGAAGAAGAATATGGAGAATGGGGGATATCACTGAGTCTATTTAGGAAAATGCAATCTGTCCCCCTAAGTGAGTGCTACAATAACATCTCAATCTTCTTTGAAAACTGGAAAATTAAAAACAAGGGTTAAATGGAATCTGGATAAAAAATCAATTAGTATTTAAACCCACATGAGCTGAACCTCTTATCACTTGTGATAAAAAAGTTGTAACTTGTACAAGTTGAGCCTAAATTACTATGCTGTCCTACCTTAGTAAATACAGCATTATGACCTTGATTTAATAGGTGGTGATTCAGATTCACCCCCAAGTGACAACTGGGCACTGCAGCTTCTCTGTAAGAATACAAAATACCATCGCCAGGCAGAAATGTGGGTGCTGAGCCAGAATTTATCTGGACACTCCAGGCTGAAGGCTTGGTCATGCCCCTTGCCCCTCCTGTAGATGTCTCCAGGATACTGACTAGAGAAGTTCAACAAATAACCAAAGAAAGAAGGAAGAGAAGGTAGAAATTTTTAAAATTCTAAATCAGAGAGCTCTAAGTCAGAGGCCTATGGTTATGATAAACCCCTTTCTGACAAAAAAGAAAGCAAAAAAAAAAAAGGAACTGAGAGCAAACCTCTTTTGTCAGGAAAGGCGATCCTTAGAAGAAGAGAGAGCCAGGAGCCAGGTTTCTGATCCTAGATCTGGTTTTGACCTGCTCTGGGACCTTAACCAAGTGGCATAACTTCTTTGGGCCTCATTTTCCTCATCTGTAAAAATAAAGGGATTGAATTAAGACAAAGATTCTTAATTGAGGCCTACAAATAAGCCACGGTTGTGGCCACTGATATGTGCTTGAATCTATCTTCAAGTTTAAACTCTATTATCTTAATGTTCATTAACAGAGAATGAATTCTACAGGAGTGTAAAGTGTTCTCCCAGAGCTACATCCTCAGCAGACAATGCTACCGATGCTATCCTCCTCCCTGGGCTGCCTCAGCAGCTCCTCCCTGGCTCCAGCCCTCAGACCTCAGGCTCCCTGGAATTACAAACAGATGTTTCAGTCCCATGCAATCAACATATCAATATAGTTTAAATGCACAAGGGAAACTAGTTTTCAAAGAAATTATGCTACATGTATTTCTAACAAACAGCAAACAATTCTTTGGTAACAAAGACGATAGGCCCTCACTTATTATTTCACAAGTTTGACTGTTTGAACATGGGTCTAACTTGGGCCTCCCTCCCCAAAACCAACCACCATGATATCCTGGAAACAGGCAGGGATGGTTCAAGTCAGGCCCTCTGAAAGCCCTGGAGTGTGTTACTGGAAAGTAGCTCTTCAGATGGATAGAAAGCTCTGCGAGGACCATACCAACAATTATGTTTTGGGGGGTGTCGCATACTGCCCATCTTCAGAAGGTATGGACATGCCAGCCCCATTCTACACAGTCCACAGACTGAGGTGGCAATATATTATACACACAGGCTAGTGCCCCAGCCCGAAGTTGAAAACCATCTCTCAACGACAGTCTATTGTCAGGAACCAAGAGACCAAGGCAGTGTCACCAAAGAAAGAACCAAGCTGAATGGACAACTCTGGCAAGATGAAGAGAAAGGATGTGCTTCACATGGAAAGCTGAATTTATTTACACTAATCATGAATGCAGGCTCTCAGCTGGAAAAAATCTCACTTAAAACGCCAGAAGGTTCAGAACCATTCATAAGCTTTTCAGAATGCAAGCAGTTGCCATGGTAACCCCGACATCATGTTTCCTGGCATTGGACATATAAATTACCACCCATAATGCATTTAATACAGTTTGGGGCCACCAATTCATTGCAAAATAAATCTCAGTTCTGACTCTTGGCCTCCCTCTAACATAAAAAAAGAGGACCAGCTGGACGTAGGACCCAGCTAGCCCCATGGATAAGCACAGAGCTCCACACATCTGAAAATGCTCATCTGAAGGCAAAATAAGAACTAAGGAAATAAGACTTCATCATCTATAGCCATATGGGTAAGATTTTGTAAAACAAAATGTTCCCTTCATATTAATGAAACTGTTGTTGCTTAAGTTAAAGAAACAAATATATTACATCCGTATCTACATCTCTGAAATTCAACTATGTTTAGCAAGTTAAAGAAAAAGCAGATCTCTTCAAAGAACATCTTCAATAATTCATTAGAGGGGATTTGTCAACACCAAATAAGATAACTTTTCAAATGTCAAAAACTGTCATTAACAAGAAATATCAAGTTTTATTTCTTAGGTTCGGAAGAGATCTATTCAATCATAATTCTTTATCTTGACCAGGGGTATTCATCAACATTTACGAGAGACATATGCATGATTTTTAAAGTCCCTTACCTTTCTATAATCCACCATCTGAACACAGAGACGAAAACAAAATTATTGTGTACAAACTGCAAAGGCATCTTCAATTTCACATTCCCAGGAAGCCCACTGCAACAGTAACTTAACAGAGCTGCTGCAGGACATGCCTGTGCTAGCCAGAGCATTCATAAAATCGCCTACATTCTAATCACTAAACCACCAGGTCCACGGGAGTATTACCTTCATTACCTCCTCCTTCAGATTGCCGGCAACAGTCAGCAGTTGTGAAGGGGAGCAAAAGACTTCACCACGGGTTGTTTCCATATTAACAGGGACTCTGGTAACCGCTGCATTGCAGTCTTTCTGAAAGCTACCAACCTCAGAAGCAAAAGCGCTGGAGAGAGACTCCCAGCACAGGAAGCTGTCAAAGATTTTTAAGAATCTTAAAAAAAATGTTGCAAACACCTAGGGGTATTTCTAGATTTCCAGCCTGTTTCCTAAAGGTTGCCTGGTTCGTGGTTTTTACTGGAGGATGGCTGTGACAACTGATTGTGCTGGGTAAGAATGCTGAAATGAGTGAAATGTGCATTATGACACAACATCTTTAGTACTCAAGTACTCCTCGTGAGAATCTGCACATCTGCTGCTTAGCACAAGCTTCAAAGCCCCTGCTGAGGAACTCCTGGGAATGAACCATGATTTTCATTCCAAAAAATGTACTTCCAGTTCCTCTGTGGGCAGCAATCACTATGAACACCCAGAAACCTTCACAGTACAGTAATAACCATTACACAGAACATTTGAAATATTAAACCATGGATCATACAATCAAATTCGGAAAAAGAGACTTTTGAAATAGTAGCATGCCTACTAAGTAAACTTTAACTTTCATTAATTCATTCAATACATTTAGTGAATCATATGCTGTATGTAAAATATACAAGTTGAGCATCCCTAACCCAAAAATCCAAAATCTGAAACTTTTTAAGCACCAACAGGACACCACAATTGGAAAATTTCACACCTAACCTCATGGGATGAGTTGCATGTCAAAATGCAGTCAATGCTTTGTTTCATGAACAAAATTATTAAAAATATTGCACAAAACTACACCTTCAGGCGATGTTTATAAGGTATATATAAAATGTAAATTAATTTTGTGTTTAGACTTGGGTCCCATCCCCAAGACATATTTGCATAATGCAAATATTTGCATAATGCAAATATATTTGCATAATGCAAATATTCAAAAATCTAAAAAAAAATCCCAAATCTGTAATACTTCTGGTCCCAAGCATTTTGAATAAGGGATATTCAACCAGTAAGTCTAAGATAAACCTCCCGTCATGGTGGTTTATCTGGAGGCACTCTGGTGGGAAGACTAATGAAGAACAAGCCATCCCCAGCGTGAGGATGAGTATGCTGAAAAAGGGCCAACACTGCACAGAAAGCAGAACTAGAGCTCATCTGGGAATCCAGGACAAGGTTCTGAGAGCAAGGAACATTTAAGAGGAGCTGAAGGACGCGGTCTCCACTGGGGAAAGGAGGGGAAGGGGAAGACATCTCCAGATGGCTGTGCACGTTCACCAGCATGTACCAGTGGGTCCTCAGCAAGCGTGAGGACCCATCCCTCCGTATCAGCAGCCCTGAGCAGGCACTGCCACCACCATGATGGACAGACACCTAGGTATCTGGGACCTGAGGCATACGCTTGCCTGAGACAACTAGTGACCAAGTAGAAATGCCAGAATTCGAACCCCGAAGGGCAGCTCTGTCCTATACTACACCACTACGCCGCCCCTCAATAAATAACAGCTGTCTTCTGGCGATTCTGGTGACTGATCCCTGACAGAGATTCCTGTCTAAAGTAGCCTCTGTTTAGATATGTTTTCTTCCACCCTCTGACTAGTGCCCAGCCTGACACTGGATGAATGAATAAACAAATTAAGATATCTACTGCTCGCTCTCTCATTCTAGTGATAGGAAACGGCCTGCAGTATCCCTGGAAACATTATGCTGTTCTGAAGAATATCCCCTTTCTTTGCCTTCCTTCTGTCTACCTAAGTCTACTTCACATCTTTGGCTCTGGAATCTTCTCTACCAGGAAGTCTTCACTGACTCCTTTCCCACCTCTCTAGCAACAAGGCCCCTTCCTCTGGCCTCTGTCGTCAGCAGCGACTACACTGTACTGAAGTGACAGTTCTGCATCCAACCCCTGCATCGGAGCCCCGCAGGGAGAGCCAACTTGGTATTTGCAATGCCTAGCGCATGACCGCTGCAGCTGCACTCGTGGAGGACTCCCACAGGCCAGCCATCACGGCTGCCCCACAGAACTCACTTGTTCCTCTGTGAAGAAGCTACGAGAATCATCTCCATCTGACAGACCAGGAGGCTGAGGCACAAAGAAGCTAAGTCACAGGCCAAGCGGGAGGGCCAGGACGCAAGCCCAGCACCCAGGCTCCACATCCTAACCACCCCTTCTTCATCCCTTTTTCTTCTATTATGGGCACCCAGTTCACTGACACCAACTGGAAAAGATGGTGTTTTCCTCATGGGGGTGGGATGGATTAGATTTACGGAAAAACTTCCAAGGAAATACTGTAATCTTTCTACCCCATTCCTCCCTTTTAAGGTGAGATGTTAATATAAAACGCTAATACATTAGACCAAACCAGACGCACCTCGTGTGTAAATTCCTGACTGACGGGGAAAATCTCACAGCAAGTGGTGAGTGGGCAGAAGAGAAGGCACAGAGAGGCAGCATTAGGTAATTTCTTTTTGCCATTGCTATGCTTTATAGAGACTCACTAGAGCAGTTTCAAAGCCTCAGAGGAACTTTCATCAAATGCCTCTGAGCATATTTAGGTGCCAATCCGGGCACTCCCACAGAAGTTCCAGTAGAACTCTGTCTTTCAAATCAGGGATCAAGGCTCGTTCTCTGGCAGCCTCACTCCCGCCAGCCCCAGGCAGCTGAGGTGCCATAGGAGGCCTCCTCCCCCACTGATGTCAGTCCAGCAACCCTGAGCCCGATGTGCTCAGGATCTTGTGTTCTGGCCTGAGTGGGCTTTCCCAGGGGGTCTGGAAGAGTGAGCAGGGATCCAACATCAAGACTCTTGTGTATGGCCGGGCGTGGTGGCTCACGCCTGTAATCCTAGCTCTCTGGGAGGCCGAGGCGGACGGATTGCTCAAGGTCAGGAGTTCAAAACCAGCCTGAGCAAGAGCGAGACCCCGTCTCTACTATAAATAGAAAGAAATTAATTGGCCAACTGATATGTATATAAAAAATTAGCCGGGCATGGTGGCGCATGCCTGTAGTCCCAGCTACTCGGGAGGCTGAGGCAGAAGGATCGCTGGAGCCCAGGAGTGTGAGGTTGCTGTGAGCTAGGCTGACGCCACGGCACTCACTCTAGCCTGG